GGACGCCATATTGCGGTGCGCGAACATAATTGCCAAAAGTAGAAAAAAAAAATTACTATCGTTCTGTCAACATTAAAAACAAAAGTTACTGAATAAATTACATTTAAAATTTAAAATTGCCGCCTATTACGTATGTTTTTGAGAAGAGAAGCCATCAACTTTAGCTTGTATTGGGCCAAGTTCAGAAATAACGCATAGGGTGCGATGCGATTTTATGGGTGTACCTAAATTGACAAATGGCCATTGGGCCCATAGCACCGTCTAGCATTTCTGAACAGCTAGGACGTTGCACCGGTATCACACGAGATATGACAATTTTAAAAAAGTATGTTTTGGTCTATTTTTTTCTTCGAAAAATCATAGCTTAGCCACGCTGCATTCAACCCCAACACTCGCAAGGAAATGTCCTATCACGATCGCGAAGCGGCAAGTGCGCGGAAATGTCGGTGTATGTTGGTCTTGAAACGGTTCAGGTTGTAACCTGCAGGGAAAACCGTCGCAGGGAGTTTATTCCACAGCGATGCTGTTCTCCAGAGATATGAATTCTGATATAATGAGGTTCTTGGTGCCTCTAGTTTGACAGTAAATTCATGGTTACCGTCTGTTTGACGGGTTCGCCTGGTAGGCGCTACTCTCGGTGGAATCATACGTGCCAACTCTTCAGAGCATTTTCCGTGATAGTACCTGTAGAAGAGAGATAAATCGCCCACAGATCTGCGATGTTCGAGACCATCCAAGTTACGAGTAAGTGCGGGGTCATTGATCAGCTTGATAGCTCGTTTTTGCACGGTGTTCAAAAGCATTAAGGTATGTTTGGGTGCTGCACTCCATATATGTGAGCAGTACTCCATAGTTGGTCGAATCTGGGCTTTGTAGAGTGTCAGCAATTGGCTTGGTGTGTACAGATGTCTTGTACGAAATAGCACCCCCAGCTTTTGGAACGCCCTTTTAGCAATATCTGCCACGTGACTGTGCCAAGACATGTTGGTCTCTGCAGTAACCCCCAAGATGTTCAACTGACTCTGTAATATGACAGCACTTCCAGATAGCATGATGTTTGGCTCACCGGTGCTGGTCTTTTTTGAAAACAGAGCTGCTTGGGTTTTTTGCGTGTTGAACTGTACAAGGTTTTTGTTACCCCAGCCCTCTATTATCTCCAGGTCGTTATTTATCTGCGATATTTGAGTTATTCTAAGATGATGGAATTCACGTGCGGAAAGACCTGTGGGTGGTATGAGTGAGGAGACTACATTACCATCGTCTGCAAAGCAATAAAGTGGATTTACTGTTTTATCTATGAGGTCATTTATGTAAATCAGAAAAAGAGTTGGCGAAAGGATTGCTCCCTGTGGCACACCAGCATTTATTTGGTAAGAGTTGGAGTTCAGGCCATCCAGTGCAACATACGTGGATCTGTCCTTTAGGTAACTTTCAAACCAAGTGCAAAGTTTCGGCGATAATCCCATTGCTTTGAGCTTGTTGAGCAGATTTTCATGCCAAACTTTGTCGAATGCTTTAGATATATCTAAGGCAATTGTTCTTGTTTCACCCCGCAACTCAATCGCATTTTGCCATAAGTGAGTGACGTATGTAAGTAAATCGCCAGTTGACCTATATTTCCGAAATCCGTATTGCTTATCGTTGATAATTTTATACTTTTCCAAGTACTTGGTTAGGTGATTGTTCACAACTCTTTTCATTACTTTTGATATCACCGGAAGTAGAGCAATTGGTCTATAGTTTAACGGATCTGTCTTTTTTCCTTTCTTTGGAATGGGTTGTACTGCGGCAGACTTCCATGATGCTGGATATACTCCTTGCCTGTAAGACAAATTGAATAATTTTGCGAAAGTTGGGGTGAGTTCGTTAGCGCAATTTTTGAGTACTCTTGCGGGAATGCCATCCGGACCCATTGCTTTGTTTGTATCTAGCTTTTTAAGGGATTTTCATATTTCTCTGTGACAAAAGGGTACCTCTGGCATACTATGGGAAACCCTTTCAATGAACGGTGGAGTTTTTCCGTTTGGCACTGTTAGGTTGGAGTTGGAGGAAAACATTTGGGCCAGCATATTGGCTTTTTCCTCTGATGTTGTGGCTAGGTGATTATTTTTATCTGTAAGTGGTGGTATGGATGACTTGGTGAAGTTAGATCCAACAGCTTTTGCAAGAGACCAAAAAGACCTAGAACTACTTGGACAATTCAGCAACCTGTTTTTTATTCTTTGATTGTATGTTTCTTTAGCGGAGTCAATAGTAATTTTGCAACTATTTCAGGCTTCTATAAATTCTGTGTGGTTTTGAGCGGTTTGTTGTCGTTTCCAAAGGTTATATGCTCTGTGTTTTTTCTGTACAGCCGTTTGACACTGGCTGTTGAACCAAGGTTTTGCATTAGGTCTACGTTTAGTTGTATGTGGGATATATGCATCCATTCCAGATAAGATTACTTGTGTTATTTCATTACAGCAAATAGTGGGATCAGCTGTTTTAAAGCAAACCTCTTGCCAGGTAAAACTGTTTTAGGTCATTCCATTTTGCCGATTTATAGTGCCACATTTTACGAGGACGTGGTTGTTGGCTTGGTGGGATGAGCATTTCGCACTTTGTTATTATAAGTTTAAGATCGGACGAACCAAGTGGAGCATCTACCTGAATTGTGTACGAGTCAGGATTTGTGGTTAGGAACAAGTCTAAAAGCGCTGCAAATTCGCCCCTTTCTGAGATACGGGTATGTTCATCGACAAGCTGCGTTAGACCACAACTTATGGCAAAAGCTTCTGCTTCTCTGCCTTCGATATCTGTTTTGTTGTGGTGTTTCAGCCAGGGTATATTGTGGATGTTGAAATCGCCTAAAAAGACAATTTTCGCCTGTGGATAGTTTGACTGTATACTATCACAGCTTTCGGATAATGTCGCGAAAAAGTTTTGGTACTCGGTGTTAGATGGCGGTCGGTAGAGGCAGCAGATAAACTTGGTCGATGACTTTGAGGTGAATTTTAGCCATATGATATCAAGGTTCGCTGGTTCTAGCTTCTCCTCTCGATGACATGAAAGGTCATTTTTAATGTACACACAAATCCCAAAATTATGTCGAAATCGGTGGTGTAGGTCATAGCCGGGATAAAGATAGTTCACAATAGGTGTCGCAGAACTGATTTTAGTTTCAGTGAGAACAAGGATGTCAGGTCTTTGTTCTTCAAGATGTTGGTGAACTGAATTCATATTTGTACTTATTCCTCTTATATTGCTAAAATCAATTCTGAGTTGAGTTTTTGATCTTCTCTTTATATCTTTGCATGAAGGACCCCCAGGATCACCCGACGCCCGGAGATCCGAGTGGTCGGGTATTTTACCTCCGGGATATTTTGATCCTGGAGGCGCCATCATGCTATCTGTTACTCATTGTTGGAACCGGACTGCCAGCGCAGTAGCGGAACGTGGTGATACCACTTAGCGCTACTCAATTCTGGCATGGTGGTATTTCACCGGTCGACGCCCAATGAGTAAAAAGCGTCTACCACCTATACAGAACATATAGAGACTTCATTTGCCACATAAAAACATATGGTATTCCATTTAAAAAAAAAAACATGAAATTTGTGATTACTCTTTTTTGAGAAACCCTCACCTGTATACTTGAAAATAATTTTAGGTAATAGCAGAGATGAAATGCAAAAAACTTTTATACAGAACATTTTTCCATAAATTCAACGGTTTGGCTACTATTGACCGAGGCGCGCTTGTTGGACTACCCTGTAAATTCGGTTATCCCAAAGAGTTTCATTAAATCTTCTATTTCTGCCGTCACAACCTCATGCTCTGTAAGAATTTACCTTGCTCTAGAAAACTGTCTAGTAAAGGGGTTCCTGGATAATATTTCATAAATTTTCATGCGCAATTATTATCTTATTGTAGGTCTTTCATTACTATGATAGATAATTTGTATTGTTCAAACAATATTGTTCGCATTTCTTTTCATTGGGTCTATGTAAATAGTAAAGCAGCCTTGAATGTATCAAACTACTAATAAAGTTTGGATTTTGACGTTTTTGAATGGTAACAGATTCCTATAACTTATCTTTTCAATATCATCCAAAAGTCTTAACAATGAAAGTCATCATGACCTGGAAAAGACGAAATAAAATTCTCTACACAAACCAAACAAAAATTTCTATTGGGCTATAATAGAACTGAGTTATTTTGTTTTCCAAAAGTTTATATCTAACTTAGGGTACGCACACAAAGAAAGCAGGTTGCCTGCTTGCTGGTAACAAGCGCTTATAAGCACCAATAATTAAATCCACGTTTAAATGAACCCGCACACAGATAAAGCAGATAAGTGCTTGTTGCTAGTGCAGATCGGCGCCGACTTTTTACCGGAAAGAATTTTTAGTTCTTGGTCGCTGGTCGGAGCTGGACTTGCATCGATAATGGATGTCAAATTACTGATTTCTGCGATTTTTCAAAGAAATGCATTGTGGGACAAACGACTTAAGTCCCACAGCAACACGAATATAGTGCAGAAGGAATAAATGGCGAAATTCACCATAAAGTTTTCGTTCACGATCTACTCGATGTATACCTTGCTCCGTGCGTTGCATCATCCTTAGGAATGTACTTTCCGTCAATGAAAAGTCTTCATCTGAAGATGAACTAGACATCTTTGTGGTATGGAAATTGCGTCTAAACTGGCCGAAAACCGGCGTTCATTGTGTACTAGTGAAATGACTTGTAGGTGCTGATTTTCGGCGCCGGAAATAGGCGCTGATTAACTTGCTTTCTTTGTGTGCGTACCCTTAGGCACGGTTTATTCATTTTCTGATAAGCTTGCTGGTAACTGCCCACAATATAAATATACGAAAGTAGTATCCGGACACCATTAGAGTTATAGATTGCGTTTTTATCCATCAGATTGTACAACCTTACACCATGTCAGAAGGTGAATAAACCGGTCTTCAAGATTGAAAATCAATAGTTATATACCTAACCTACCTTATTTTCAGGTTACTATCAACGCTCAACCAGTGACATCTTCCAATTGGTCGTCTGATCCTCTTCCAGAGTGAGCCTCGGCCGTGTTCGGGTGTTATTGGCTCGGTAAGTCGGGACAGTGGCGGGGGCTCGAAAAGCGACGAGGCGTAGGGCGGCGCCACTGACGCCGACGGCTACGGCATGCACGCCAATGTGCAGTGCGACAGGTCAGTACCACATTATTAATAGCTATTCTAAATTAGTACCTACTATTAATAGGTACCTACTTTCGTTCCGTTGTTGCAAGATTTGTTCAAATACTTTTAAATTAATTGAAGTATTGTTTGCTTAGTGAATCAAAGATAGCTGAAAAAGCTTTTTTTTGGATCAGTACTGAACTGTCTGACTCCTTTCCTTGGGTGCTTTGAAACCTATAAAAACAACTCTCATTATTCACTGGATCCTGCTGAAAAATTCCAAAAAATGGTAGAAGCTGCAATCAAGTGCTCAGCTAACTAATTTTTATTTTGTCTTAAAATCAGTTAAGGAGTTAAGCGATCAGTCTTCTGAGAGTTATAAGGCTTTATAGAAAATATCTTATAAAAATATCAATAAGATTTTTTATCTACAAGCGTGCGGTAACTAAAGAATATTACACGATTTTGCGTGCGGTAAGTACCATATTATCGCACGGCGTGCGGTAATATTATTACCGCACGCTCTACCTACATAGGTACGTACCTTCAATTACCTACCATAGCTAAATTACCTACCTATCATCTTAATTGTACTGGTCCACTGTCAAAGGTGAGTAAGGTGACAGACACACTTTTTTTTTATAATTTTTTAAACTTCTTTCGGATATTTTGTTACCGCACGCTTGTAGATAAATTACTGTATATAATTCGTATGGTAATTAGGTTACTACCGCCCTTAGAGATTGCAAATTTCTCTCGCGTGCGGTAATAACCTAGTTACCACACTTATTATATAATATACTATTATTTGTTTTAGAAATTCTTGGCGACTGCCTCCGGACGAGACCCTGCAGGTTGCCGATCCGAAGGCCAAGAAGGCCGAGGTAGGTGATGAGGAGGTCAGTACTCCCACTCTCAGAGGAACCACCACTGCACATTGAGTTACAGTTTTTCTAATTCTAATTATTATTACACAGTTTTTTAAAGTAGTTTTCCAATTTTTCCAATTGATCTCAAACAGGCATTAAGTAAAAACACAATGAGCTTTGGGAGTATAGGAAATTCTTATGGTCTCTATTCGCTTTTGAGAGTGATATGGCATAAATATTTGGCGAAGGTAACTAAAATACCTATATTCATATACCTAAGAGTAGATTGAATTTCGAGGGATTTAACATAAAAAATATGCTTTTATATTAGGCAATAAAATAGTTTCCATGGTCTTCCATAAAATGACGAAATTAAAAATTCAATAAACACTAGTTTCCTCCATATTATACAAACTAAACGGCCAACTAGCTTTGTATAAATGATGAATTATGCGTCAACTATATTTTTGATAGGTGCGTGATCAAATAACGATAATAAAAGCCGATTCCTGTGTTATCAAAAGGTTATCAACGCGACGCAACACGTAGACTCTTTTTTAAATAGAGAGCAGAGACATTCTGCTCCGACCACCTGTAAGTTTTCGAGTGTGTTTACAGAGCTGCCACATATCGCAGGCAATATATTATTTTCGTACTGACAGAACATTCCCCTCCTCAAACTAAAAGTCATAAGCTCTTTTATAACAAAGTCCTATAAGAAGAATTTTTTTAAGTGAGGTTTAGTAGGTACAATATTATTACTAAACCAAAATTCTTTGTTGACACAGGATTCTAGAGAAAAATGAAAATAGTGGCGACAATGAGGGAACTCAGTTTGGATTTTTAGCCTGAGCATATGGCTTCCCCCTGTTTTACAGGTCGATCCAAATTCGTGGGTCCTCGGATACTATAGAGATACGTATTTGGTTAAATTGGCAAAGTTGCGCAATTATATGCTTAACAAAATACCGCTCCACAATTGGAAAATTCCGAATATAGTTTCGGAAGAAACCAAAATTCCGCAAAATCGATTCGAATTTTTCTTGAGCTTGTTTGAAGTGTTTAAAGTAAAGGGATCTTTACTTTATCATTACCACTTTTCTCTCGCTACAAAATAATATTGTCAAATTCAAAATCTGACGGTCATGAATAATTTATTTTGTTTTGTAGAACCTTTTTATCCCCCCTGCGCAATGACTTGTGCAAACCAATGAAAAAATCATTACGGCTAAGAAAATTTCGTTTTAAAATGTATCCAGTTTCTGTCTACATATAACTAGGGCCATAAATCCGTCTTGATTCAACCAACACATTACAGTGCTTTCTGAAAGTAGGTAACCTAAGATTGTTTAAAATTTGGAAAATATAACGACGATTGCAGATATTTCAAAAGAAGACGATATCAGAATAAAGCATGGTATGGTTTGTAGGTACAGGGAATAGGTAGATACCAAAAGGAATCCTACAGTGCAACCAAATAAAACCAAAATGGGAGATGGAACGAAGGAAACTTAGAAAAAGTTAAAAAGAGGGCGTGGACAGTGAAATTAGCAAGAAAAGCCTAGACGAATTAAGATTTATCGACAGATAGAAGAGAGGAGATTTTGGATCAGAAAATGGAGATCGTTGTGCAACTGATTCATACAGGGTGGGGCACGAAAATCTTCCCACCCAGGTTTTCTCAGGTGTTTAATCAAAAATCGCTCGGACATGTCAATTTTTGTGGGACACATTTTACTGGTATTTTCACGCCTTACCTGTCAACCTCTAAGCGGGGGTGACAAGTACCCCCAAAATTTTAAATGGAAAGGGGGGTGGAGTGACACGTCATTTGATAGAATATATCCTCGAAGTTTCAAGTTGCTACCATTTAGGTACCCTGGCGAAATGGCGGCTTGTTAAAGTTAGGCAAAAGGCCTTTTTCCGACTATCTGAACTAATAGAATGACTAGTTTTGAAAGTAGTTATTATTATATTACCAACGCTTTTAAATGGCAGAATAGTATATTATCACGTGACTAATAAAAAAAAGTTTCCTTGAATGATTTGTATGGAAAAAGATTTAAAATTTGGACAAGAAATAAAAATTTAAACAAAAAAAAAAACAAATTAATTCAATAAATTAATGTTCAAAATGTTTACCACCCACCTCCATACAATAGTATAATGGTTGTTCAAAATGTCTTCAGACGTTGTTTAGAATATTGTGTGTAACTTGATGACATTCATTAACAATTATGTTACGCAAATTTTCCAAGGATTCGACTTTGGTCATATATATTTTTGTTTTCAAGTGCCCCCATAAAAAAAAGTCTAGTGATGAAAGGTAAGGCGATCTTGCCAGCCATTCGATAAATCCTCTTCTTCTAACCTAGATATCTCTCTGGAAATGTTTCGTTGAGGTATTGTCGAACAAGAAGTGTGTAGTGAGGATGAGCACCATCTTGTTGGAAAATTTCATCTTTTCCTAAGCCATTTGCATCATTTTCCATAACTTCGACTAGGGTTGGGTGAATAACATCTTCCAACAAATGTAAATACATTTCCCCTGTGAGGTTTCCAGAAAGGAAAAAGGGTCCAATTACATAGTTTCGAAAAATTCCAGCCCAAACGTTAATTTTTTGTGGTTGTTGAGAGTGCATACTTCACGAAATATTCTGGGATTAGTATCGGCCCAATATCGACAATTATGTCGATTAAATGTACCATGGTGGTAGGTGGTAGACGCTTTTTACTCATTGGGCGTCGACCGGTGAGATACCACCATGCCAGAATTGAGTAGCGCTAAGTGGCATCATCACGTTCCGCTACTGCGCTGGCAGTCCGGTTCCAACAATGAGTAACAGATAGCTTGATGGCGCCTCCAGGATCAAAATATTCCGGAGGTAAAATACCCGACCACTCGGATCTCCGGGCGTCGGGTGATCCTGGGGGTCCTTCATGCAAAGATATAAAAAGATCAAAAACTCAACTCAGAATTGATTTTAGCAATATAAGAGGAATAAGTACAAATATGAATTCAGTTCACCAACATCTTGAAGAACAAAGACCTGACATCCTTGTTCTCACTGAAACTAAAATCAGTTCTGCAACACCTATTGTGAACTATTTTTATCCCGGCTATGACCTACACCACCGATTTCGACATAATTTTGGGATCTGTGTGTACATTAAAAATGACCTTTCATGTCATCGAGAGGAGAAGCTAGAACCAGCGAACCTTGATATCATATGGCTAAAATTCACCTCAAAGTCATCGACCAAGTTTATCTGCTGCCTCTACCGACCGCCAAGTAACACCGATTACCAAAACTTTTTCGCGACATTATCCGAAAGCTGTGATAGTATACAGTCAAACTATCCACAGGCGGAAATTGTCTTTTTAGGCGATTTCAACGTCCATAATATACCCTGGCTGAAACACCACAACAAAACAGATAACGAAGGCAGAGAAGCAGAAGCTTTTGCCATAAGTTGTGGTCTAACGCAGCTTGTCGATGAACCTACCCGTATCTCAGAAAGGGGCGAATTTGCAGCGCTTTTAGACTTGTTCCTAACCACCAATCCTGACTCGTACACAATTCAAGTAGATGCTCCACTTGGTTCGTCCGATCATAAACTTATAATAACAAAGTGCGAAATGCTCATCCCACCAAGCCTACAACCACTTCCTCGTAAAATGTGGCACTATAAATCGGCAAAATGGAATGACCTAAAACAGTATTACCTGGATTTTCCATGGCAAGAGGTTTGCTTTAAAACAGCTGATCCCACTATTTGCTGTAATGAAATAACACAAGTAATCTTATCTGGAATGGACGCATATATCCCACATACAACTAAACGTAGAGCTAATGCAAAACCTTGGTTCAACAGCCAGTGTCAAACGGCTGTACAGAAAAAACACAGAGCATATAACCTTTGGAAACGACAACAAACCGCTCAAAACCACACAGAATTTATAGAAGCCAGAAATAGTTGCAAAATTACTATTGACTCCGCTAAAGAAACATACAATCAAAGAATAAAAAACAGGTTGCTGAATTGTCCAAGTAGTTCTAGGTCTTTTTGGTCTCTTGCAAAAGCTGTTGGATCTAACTTCACCAAGTCATCCATACCACCACTTACAGATAAAAATAATCACTTAGCCACAACATCAGAGGAAAAAGCCAATATGCTTGCCCAAATGTTTTCCTCCAACTCCAACCTAACAGTGCCAAACGGAAAAACTCCACCGTTCATTGAAAGGGTTTCCCATAGTATGCCAGAGGTACACTTTTGTCACAGAGAAATACGAAAATCCCTAAAAAAGCTGGATACAAACAAAGCAATGGGTCCGGATGGCATTCCCGCAATAGTACTCAAAAATTGCGCCAACGAACTCACCCCAACTTTCGCTAAATTATTCAATTTGTCTTACAGGCAAGGAGTATATCCATCATCATGGAAGTCTGCCGCAGTACAACCCATTCCAAAGAAAGGAAAAAAGACAGATCCGTTAAACTATAGACCAATTGCTCTACTTCCGGTGATATCAAAAGTAATGGAAAGAGTTGTGAACAATCACCTAACCAAGTACTTGGAAAAGTACAAAATTATCAACGATAAGCAATACGGATTTCGAAAATATAGGTCAACTGGCGATTTACTTACATACGTCACTCACTTATGGCAAAAAGCGATTGAGTTGCGGGGTGAAACAAGAACAATTGCCTTAGATATATCTAAAGCATTCGACAAAGTTTGGCATGAAAATCTGCTCAACAAGCTCAAAGCAATGGGATTATCGCCGAAACTTTGCACTTGGTTTGAAAGTTACCTAAAGGACAGATCCATTTATGTTGCACTGGATGGCCAGAACTCCAACTCTTACCAAATAAATGCTGGTGTGCCACAGGGAGCAATCCTTTCGCCAACTCTTTTCCTGATTTACATAAATGACCTCATAGATAAAACAGTAAATCCACTTTATTGCTTTGCAGACGATGGCAATGTAGTCTCCTCACTCATACCAC